ACAAAAATTCAAAATATACAAAACCGAGGTGGAATTGCAATTAAGCAATCCGGTTAAATGTCTTAGAACTGATCGGGGAGGGGAATATATGGATACCCAATATTTCCAATCAGTTGGTATCATCCATGAGACCACGGCACCATATACACCACAACAGAATGGTGTTGCCGAAAGGAAAAATCGAGTTTTAAAAGAAATGGTCAACTCGATGTTGTCTTACTCAGGCTTGAGTAAGGGTTTTTGGGGGGAGGCAATGCTTACCGCATGTTATGTCTTGAATAGGGTTCCAAATAAAAGGAACAAGAAAACCCCATATGAATTATGGTACAAAAAGTCTCCAAATTTGAGTTACCTCAGAATTTGGGGCTGTCGGGCAGTTGTCAAACTAACCAATCCCAAAATAAATACTTTGGGAGAAAGGGGAATTGACTGCATTTTCATAGGATATGCTGAAAATTCCAAGGCATATAGGTTCTATGTTATAGATCCTAATAATTCGGTTTCTGTACATACCGTTATTGAGTCGCGAGATGCGATTTTTGATGAAATGCGTTTTTTATCAATCCCAAGGCCTAAGGATCTGATTTCTAACAGTAATGAAGGACAAATTTCAGAAACTTTAGAAGGTATATCAGATCCGGAACCCCAAGAGGTCAGGAGGAGCAAACGGGCTCGAATTGCTAAAAATTTTGGCTCCGATTTCCAGCTGTATTTGGTGGAAGGATCAAGGGATGAGGTTGGATTTCAATACTCGTATTGTTACAGTATTGAAGGAGATCCAAAGACCTTTAAAGAGGCCATGGAATCTCGAGATGTGACCTTTTGGAAAGAGGCAATTGATGATGAATTATCATCAATTTTAGAAAACAATACATGGGTGCTATGTGATTTGCCACCAGGTTCTAAACCTTTGGGTTGCAAATGGATCTTCAAAAAGAAGATGAAGGTAGATGGAACTATAGATAAGTTCAAAGCACGTTTGGTAATACAAGGGTTTAAACAAAAACCAGGTATTGATTATTTTGACACATATGCACCAGTGGCCCGGATATCTACCATTAGATTGTTGGTTACTTTGGCAGCCATCCACAATCTGGTTGTCCATCAAATGAATGTCAAAACAGCCTTCTTAAATGGAGAGCTTGATGAGGAAATTTACATGAACCAACCAGAAGGTTTTGTTATGCCCGGTAATGAGCATAAAGTGTGTAAGCTTGTCAAATCCTTGTATGGTCTGAAACAAGCACCAAAACAATGGCATCAAAAGTTTGATGAAGTTATTTTATCAAGTGTTTTTAAGCTAAACCAATCTGATAAATGTGTTTACAGTCGGTTTGATTCAACCGGGTGTGGTGTGATAATTTGCCTATATGTTGATGACATGCTGATTTTTGGCACTGATCAACTTCAAGTTGATGAAACGAAAAGTTTATTGTCATCAAGGTTTTCCATGAAAGATATGGGGGAGGCTGATGTAATCCTTGGTATTAGGATTAAGCGGTTGAACAAAGGAATTGCTATGACGCAAGCACACTATGTTGAGAAAATTCTCAAGAAATTTAATTATAGTGAATGTTCTCCCGTGAGTACTCCTCTGAACCCTAGTGTCAAATTAATGCCAAACAAAGGAAAGGCAATATCACAATTAGAATACTCTCAAGCTATAGGATGCTTGATGTATGCCATGACAAGCACTCGTCCGGATATCGCCTACGCGGTTGGGAGGTTGAGTCGGTATACTAGCAATCCTAGTACTCAACATTGGCAAGCAATTCAGAGAGAATTCAAATACTTAAAAGGAACCATGGATTATGGAATATGTTATCTTGGATATCCCTCGGTTCTAGAAGGATATACTGATGCAAGCTGGATAAATCACCTAGAAGATCATTCTTCTACAAGTGGTTGGGTATTCTTGCTTGGGGGAGGTGCCATTTCTTGGGCCTCTAAGAAGCAAACTTGCATTACAAATTCAACGATGGAGTCTGAATTTGTTGCTTTAGCTGCTGCCGGTAAAGAGGCAGAATGGCTAAGGGATTTGGTTTTTGAGATTCCATTATGGACAAAGCCAATTACACCCATTTCTATTCGTTGTGATAGTGTTGCCACGTTGGCTAAGGCCTATAGCCAAGTGTATAATGGGAAGTCTAGACACTTAGGTGTTAGACACAGTATGATTAGGGGCTTAATCATGAAGGGTGTAATTTCTGTTGAGTACGTGAAATCACAACAGAATTTGGCGGATCATTTAACTAAAGGTCTGGCCAGGGACTTAGTGCACAAGTCTGCGATTGGGATGGGTTTAAAGTCCATTTAATTCCATAATGATGAGACACCCAATTCCCCTCTAATATAATATTAGAGGTTGAATTCAATGAGGAAAGCTCATACTTAAGGAATGGAACACATGCATTTTGTCATCCCAGGTTAGTGTGTTCGGACCTGTAGTAAAAGGGTTGAATATATATTCTTAATAATTCCTTTGTTAAAATGTAAGCAGGTACATGATTAAAGGAATTACCTATATGATCGTGAAGTGTAGCCGCACTTCGAAAAGTTGGGACTTAACTTTTATACGATTATGAATGGATTGGGACACTCGGCTTAATAATAGTGTCAAAGTTTTGAACTAGTTGTTTATTTGAACTTATGTGTATGTTATCTTCATGTATTCAAATGGGTTGAAGGGTTCAATTCTTAGAACACCCTGATTCTTGAGTATTTGGAATGTGTAATGTACTAATATGAAAATTCAATCGTTTCGATATTTTCATGTATGCATAAGTTTGGTTGTCTCTTATTCTTGTTTATGTAGATTCATGGTTACACTAAAATGGGGGAGGATTGTTGGTGATTTTAGTATCACCAGGTTCATTTTAGTGTAATGGAATTTACAGATTACCAATGGAGTTCAAGTTTAATTTTAGACAAGTTAGGAGGTGCGGAGCGCACACTTGTACGAAATTAAATTTAAACTTGGTTCGATTAAATGGCGGGGGTCAAGGGGGCTGCGCCCCCTTGCGGGGTCCAAGGGGCAGCGCCCCTGGCGTGAGGATATTTAGAGAAATAAATATGGAAATTTATTTTCGGATAAACATGTCCATATTAATTATTTAATAGAATGACTTTCTGTTATAGTAAAACTCTAACTGATTGGCCTTATCTCTTTGGTAATCAGAAGAATTCGAGTTCTACTAAACTGCTAGCTCGTGGTCTATATATTGGTGCCTCAGTTTTAGACTGTCTCTCACAGTGATTATCCCCATAATCTAAATTTCGTGTAACCCAGGCATAGGGTCGAAATATTAGATTCGGAAAGTGATCACACGATACTCTGAGAAATCCGCCAGATTTTCTAAAACAGTTTCCCAACTCCCCAGAATTAACAAAATTGACTTGCTATCACAAGTTGTAGCCGGTCACTAGAAAAAAATAGCTTTTTTGTCACAGATTTTTGTCACTGGTTCCTTCCTGACAAGTTTGTCACGGATTTTTTGAAACCGGCATCTTTATCCGATGAACCTTTTGTCAGGGATTAATCCGTGACAAAGCGTTGTGACAAATTTTTATCACGCCTAAACGGTCACGGAAAAAATCCGATCCGTGACAAAGTTTTTTGTCACAGATATTTTTAACTACGGTCCATGACAAAATCCGTGACAAACTCCCTATTTTTTTTTAATACGTGGGTTAAAGACTATTTTAAAATGATCCATATAATTGAGACCACCCAAAAGTAATCGATAATTTGTATTCAATCCATTGATGAATTCTCATTTTGCTCGACCTTGTTGAAACAAAACTTAAAAAGGTGAAAATAAACTACCAGGTACAGTTTTGTTGCTAATCAAGTTTCTCATATATCCAGCAGACAAATAGTACATGTAGCAAAACAGCATGCATGGTCAAAATTGATACAAAAAATAATGCTCGGTGAAATATTGTTTGTCATATAATATATATAATAAACAATGTAAGGAACACTATAAACAAATATTATTGTTATACGTGCACAATGTCCCCTAGCTTCTTCTTGAGATCACCTATAAATGAACTGCGTTTGTGAACCAATTCCATCATAACTCATAAGCTAGCCACCAAAAAACATACTCCTTATATATATTTATATTATTCCCTAACTTAATTAGCTTGAAAACAAGCTAATTATAGCATCAAGCCACGTACATAAATATACATATATCCACACATATATAAATATATCTTGTAACCTACATAACTACACAGCTAGCTACTATACTATCATAAACATGTTGCCTAATAACAATAAAAACAAAATAATACTTGTTACGATTTTCATTACTTCTCTTGGCTTGTTCTTTTCCCAAAGTTGTGTGAGCGCTACCGGCAGCTTCAGTCTGTCAACCTATGGCAAATGTGATGGCAAAACTGATGATACTACCGTAAGTTTTTAATGGAATTATAAATTAATACTCACTTCGTCCCCTATCTTTATTAATTTCATTTTACCTTTTTAGTTCGTCCCACTAAAAATCATTTTTATCTACCATGTCGTCTAGTGTGTGCTTGCATAAAAAAGAGAGAAGCCAATATAAATAAGGAGATAGATGCTCTAATATTTTAGGAAAACTTCTCTCATAAATTGGCTTTCCTTGTACTTTTAATATTCTTTTTAATTTATGGGATCACAAAAATCGTCTTACCTTGTAAAAATCAACCGCCAAGAAATTAGCCCAAACATGTACTTCTATGGATTGACCATAGGGTCCATGTATAGCACAATTCTCAAATATGAGTATCGCTATTTTTCTCCCAAAATAGGATTCAATGTACTCCTAGAATGGTAGCTAGTTTGGTAAGTTTTATTCTTTTCTTTTTTTCATTTAATTGTACTAAATAATTCCTATTTTGAAGAAAAACTTACTAAATATCATTTGAGAATTGTGTCTATATGTTACAATAATTTCTTTTTATAAACCAAATATATAACATTCCAAATGTGGATGCACGTATGCGCACAGTCATTCCTAAAGGCATGGGGAGATGCTTGTGCAGCAGGGTCCCCAATGGAGGTACCCGTTGGAAAGACGTGCCTTGTCGGTGAGATAACATTGGAAGGGCCATGTGGAAAAGGCTTTGCACTTCAGGTATGTATGCTTGTGTATATATATATGCCACTGTTTATATTACCAAAATTATAGAGGCCGTAAATATGTTTGTCTATTTGAACAAAAATATGATTAATTATTGTCATTAGTAGATTTTAGATGTGAATAGAATTAATTAATAAATGCATGCATGTACGTAGGTAAATGGTGAAATCCTTGCTCCGGCTAAAGGCTCGTCACAATGGACCGGTAGTCTTCAATGGTTCAATATTAAAGGTGTGAATGGGTTTACGTTGGGTGGTACCGGAAGCTTTAATGGTAATGGAGCAGCCTGGTGGACTAAGGCTGAAGATGACGACTCTCCAAACAACAATCTATTTGCTGATCAAAAAACTTCAGGGACCAAGCCAACGGTATGCTAACTACTACTGCTAGTAATTACTACTGTCCTTTTTATTGAAAAAATATCATTTTTCTGACCGATATTACTCCTTAATCACCTTACTTCCCCTCTCTTATTTTTAACTGACCAAGTTCAGTATTGAAACAAAACTACTATCATTGTGCTGTTTTAATGACCAACATTATATAGTGCATAATAATCTTATTGCCCTCTCCTATTTTAACTGACCAATGTCACTACGTAAACAAAATTACTATCATTTTATTCTTTTAATGACCAATTTTACTGCATAACCAACTTACTGCCCCTCTTTTCATTAGTTTTTATTGTTTTGCATTAAACTATTGCCCAACCATTCACTTTCTACTTCCTACCGCTTTTGATTCTTTACAAAATTACGCCTTATTGCTTTGAATCTTGACCCCTTATTTTACTTTTGAAAACATCTATGAAGTGTGTAATGTCCACATTCTGGTAATAATGCCTTAAATTTGTATCCTCACTGCACTGCTCCACCGTCACCGGAGTGGTGTTGTCCTTCGTCTTTACTGCATCCATTGCTCCACCGTCACCAAACGCCGGTGTCGTTATTCACTGCTGCATCGAATCCACTGCTCTGCTTTACATCCAAACTCCTTTTTTGTTTAAACTCTACAAAGACAAACACGTGATGGCAATCAAGTCATTTTATTTGGAGTTTAAGAGACCGATACTCATGTACAATGAATTTTAGTCATACTTCCGTCAAACAAGTTTTTTAGTCATAATATGGGAAAGTCAATGTCTTTTACTCATATAGTCGTATTTTTCCCAATATATATATGCAGGCCGTCCGATTTTATGGATCGACCCAGGTAACAGTAACTGGAATCGAAATAAAGAACAGCCCTCAGGCGCACCTCAAGTTTAATGGTTGCACCGGTGTGAATGTCAACAACGTTAAAATTACTTCACCAGGGACCAGCCCCAACACAGATGGAATTCACCTACAGAACTCCAAGAGCGTTACCATTACAGGCACAACTATAGCATGTGGTACGTGCGTGCGCATGTACATATATAAGGAGTATACTCGATCGATCATGCATGCATATACTTATATAATTATCATCAAAACATATATGCATCATCTGATGTATTGCAGGAGATGACTGCGTATCCATACAAACGGGATGTAGTGATGTCAATATACAGAAGTTGACATGTGGACCTGGTCATGGAGTTAGCATTGGAGGGCTTGGTAAGGGTGGTACTCAAGCATGTGTCTCAAACATCAAAGTTAGTGACAGCACTTTTACAAATACATTAACCGGTGGGAGGATAAAGACATGGCAGGTAACATACATACACATCCATGCATACATACTTCAATAAAAGTGAAAATGATCAATCCTTTTGGGACGGAGGTAGTAAGTCCTATTTGCCTATTTGGGGAACAAGGATGTTTTTACTTGGACTTTTTTGAGTCCCAGACCAGACGAGATGGATAATTATATAATACACAAAGACCAAGATCTGAAATTTCAATCCAAGTAAAAACATGCTAAAACATAATGAGCGAGTCTTATTTTTGAACTTTGCGTGCGTACGTTTTATTTAGTCCTATATATATGGATCGATGATCAATTTATATTGATGATAATGGTGTTATATATAAAATAATTGTGATGCAGGGAGGAAAGGGATCAGCAAATGGAGTGACGTTCTCAAACATAAAATGTGTGGGTGTGGAGACGCCTATCATGATTGACCAGTTTTACTGTGACGGTGGAGGATGCCATAACCAAACAGGAGCGGTAGATGTAACAGACGTGACGTTCCAGGGGTTTACTGGAACATACACCACACAAGCTCTTCAATTAGCTTGCAGCGAGAGCATGCCTTGTTCGGGAATAACATTATCGGCCATAGATCTCAAGCCTCAAGGAACAAAAGTTGTCGCTCCACTCTGTGAAGACTCGTACGGAACAACCGCCGGAGCAATTACTCCAGCCATCTCCGGTTGCTTGAAGGCCGGCACCGTAGCAAAGAAGAATGCTAATGCTTGCACATGATCGGTGCATGAATGCATCATCTTCCATCAATATATATAACCGGCCGGCCAATCTCACATCTATCTTAGCTTTAATTTAACTATAATCAATCAAAACTAATTAAATAATTAAATAAGTACCATGTATCCTCATCTAGCTACTTTGAAGCTAGCTTTTATGTATATTGATGATCATAATAATTAAATAAGTTTGCATTATCATTTTGCACTTCCCAACTTCCTTGTGTGTCTCATACCCTACTTGCTACTTTCTCCGTTCCCTTTTAATTAAAACAGTCCACTTTGCCAACACACAAGTTTGATAATTAATATTTTTAATTCCTTATAAGTAAACAATTTAAATAAAATCAGATTTTGAAAATTCAGAATGAGAGGAATTTAACAATATTTTTTATAAATTTAATTTATAATACATTAGTAAATAAAATATAGTCAAAGTATAATACATGAATAGTGCAAAAAGTCCAATGTTGCAATTAAAAGAGAACGAAACCGAAGCCTCTGGGGGGATTTTCTAACGGTTTCTTTCTTTCTTTCTTTCTTCCTAACCCCACGCCGGAAATGGATGCTCAACCTGTCAAGCGCATAACTTCCTCTTCGCCCGGCAAGGTTTAAGAGGCTTCCAAATCTTTGAAAAACATGCAAGTATATATGTGTGAATTTAATATACTTCTTTGTTATTTTTAAAATTTCTAGTTGTAAAACTGAATTGAACTTCCAAAACTTGAATTCCAATTCCGCCACTGGCTGCAACAACCACCTAATCTCATCACCTCCCTCCCACCTAAGGCTTCTACTTCGTCCGGAGATCTTCAAGACACTGTAACGAACCCGTGCTCGCTCAAAAGCCCTAATTTTGAATTTCATGGAAGAATAAATAGGAAGGTATAAATTTGTAGTGAGTGGATAAGTGGAAGAAGAGAGAAGAGGGGGGAGAAGTTTACTGGAAACGGTGGCTGGAAATGGGGGGGAGATGGAGGAGTTGGTTGCAATGGGACGATGCTCCGGAACGGGAAAGGAGTAGGAGAAAAAGAAAGAGAAGAAAGAAAAAAGAAAGAGGAAGAAAAGAAAAAGTAAAAAAAAGTAAAACTAAAAAAAGTCACTTGGACATTCCACGTAGGCAGTCAACCAGGAAACCGGTTGATTTATGAAATAGTCGATTTGGTTATTTTTTAACAGATCACAGATTTAATTGATTCGTTTAAAAGTATGTGGACTCAATTTACTATTTGTTGAAATTACATGGACTTTATAGTTTTCTCATAAAATAATGATAGGCCCATTTTGTGAACTTTATCTTTATTTTAGTCCTATGTAGAGAATTTTCTCAAATATATGTAGGGACGGATCATGTACAAACCCATGTGCTTATTTTGCAAACGTTTATACCACGCATCTTTACATTATTTGTATTGCATATTGAGATTCAAAGTGTTGCATATTAACGTTCAAAACGTTAATATGAAATTGTACGCCTAAAAAAGTTGGCTCTTTTTATTACAAAAATATCACCATGTCTTTATATCCTTTAGATTAACTCATCGGATGTCCAAGATGATCGAGTTTGTAGTTTGTAAATTAAAGAGGGTTTGTATTTGATCTCTAATATATACTCCGTATATAGGGAGCGGTTCCAATGAGAACCACTACCAAAAAAACTCGTTATAGGCACGGTTTGTTGGAAAGGAAACGTTCCGTTCCTAATTTGGCTCGGTTGTTGGCTCGCAACAGCTAAATATCATGTTTTGGCGCGGAAAAGTTGACGTCAAATGAAATTTCGTGATTGGCACGGAACATCCGTGCCAAAGACCGACCCAAAGACGAAAACACCAAAAAAGTTTAGATAGGAATCGGATCCGATCCAAAATCCATTTCTAATTGCGTCGGTTACGGAACAGCGCGAGACAAGAATCCGAGACAAAATCCATTCCAAAACTGGGAAAAATCATATATTCGGATGAAATATAGTATGGCGGGGAATACATCCGTGCCAACATCTTCCTTGGCAACATCCGTACCAAAAAGTATCAGTTGTTACTTTCAAAAATTCCGCTTCCAAATGTAGCCGTTGATTTCCGAAACATACTCCATCCCAAAAGTACCCGTTATCTACGGACATTTTGAAATTTCGTGCCAAAAACCTTGCCAAAAAATTCTATATATAGAACACATCTTATTATGTATTCATTCATTACATTCTTATTAATAAGTGGTGATGAATTTCCAAGAATATGGAAAGTGGTATTATTTTCTATTTTCCATGTGGTTGAAGTATTTATATTTGGATTTCTTAAGGCTGAAGATGACGACTCTCCAACCAACAATCTATTTGGTGATCAAAAAACTTCAGGGACCAAGCCAACGGTATGCTAACTACTATTGCTAGTAATTAATACTGTCCTTTTGATTGAAAAAATATCATTTTTCTGACCGATATTACTCCTTAATCACTTTACTTCCCCTCTCTTATTTTTAACTGACCAAGTTCACTATTGAAACAAAACTACTATCATTGTGCTGTTTTAATGACCAACATTATATAGTGCATAATAATCTTATTGCTCTCTCCTATTTTAACTGACCAATGTCACTACGTAAACAAAATTACTATCATGTTATTCTTTTAATGACCAATTTTACTGCATAACCAACTTACTGCCCCTCTTTTCATTAGTTTTTATTATTTTGCATTAAACTATTCCCCAACCATTCACTTTCTACTTCCTACCACTTTTGATTCTTTACAAAATTACGCCTTACTGCTTCGAATCTTGACCTCTTATTTTACTTTTGAAAACATCTATGAAGAGTGTATAATGTCCACAGTCACCGGAGTGGTGTTGTCCTTCGTCTTTACTGCATCCATTGCTCCACCGTCACCAAGCGCCGGTGTCGTTATTCACTGCTGCATCGAATCCACTACTCTACTTTACATCCAAACTCTTTTTTTTTGTTTAAACTCTACAAAGACAAACACGTGAGGGCAATCAAGTCATTTTATTTGGAGTTTAAGAGAGCGATACTCATGTACAATGAATTTTAGTCATACTTCCGTCAAACAAGTTTTTTAGTCATAATATGGGAAAGTCAATGTCTTTTACTCATATAGTCGTATTTTTCCCAATATATATATGCAGGCCGTCCGATTTTATGGATCGACCCAGGTAACTGGAATCGAAATTAAGAACAGCCCTCAGGCGCACCTCAAGTTTAATGGTTGCACCGGTGTGAATGTCAACAACGTTAAAATTACTTCACCGGGCACCAGCCCCAACACAGATGGAATTCACCTACAGAACTCCAAGAGCGTTACCATTACAGGCACAACTATAGCATGTGGTACGTGCGTGCGCATGTACATATATAAGGAGTATACTCGATCGATCATGCATGCATATACTTATATAATTATCATCAAAACATATATGCATCATCTGATGTATTGCAGGAGATGACTGCGTATCCATACAAACGGGATGTAGTGATGTCAATATACAGAAGTTGACATGTGGACCTGGTCATGGAGTTAGCATTGGAGGGCTTGGTAAGGGTGGTACTCAAGCATGTGTCTCAAACATCAAAGTTAGTGACAGCACTTTTACAAATACATTAACCGGTGGGAGGATAAAGACATGGCAGGTAACATACATACACATCCATGCATACATACTTCAATAAAAGTGAAAATGATCAATCCTTTTGGGACGGAGGTAGTAAGTCCTATTTGCCTATTTGGGGAACAAGGATGTTTTTACTTGGACTTTTTTGAGTCCCAGACCAGACGAGATGGATAATTATATAATACACAAAGACCAAGATCTGAAATTTCAATCCAAGTAAAAACATGCTAAAACATAATGAGCGAGTCTTATTTTTGAACTTTGCGTGCGTACGTTTTATTTAGTCCTATATATATGGATCGATGATCAATTTATATTGATGATATCGGTGTTATATATAAAAAAATTGTGATGCAGGGAGGAAAGGGATCAACAAATGGGGTGACGTTCTCAAACATAAAATGTGTGGGTGTGGAGACGCCTATCATGATTGACCAGTTTTACTGTGACGGTGGAGGATGCCATAACCAAACAGGAGCGGTAGAAGTAACAGACATGACGTTCCAAGGGTTTACTGGAACATACACCACACAAGCTCTTCAATTAGCTTGCAGCGACAGCATGCCTTGTTCGGGAATAGCATTATCGGCCATAGATCTCAAGCCTCAAGTCAAAAAAGTTGTCGCTCCACTCTGTGAAGACTCGTACGGAACAACCGCTGGAGCAATTACTCCAGCCATCTCCGGTTGCTTGAAGGCCGGAACCGTAGCAAAGAAGAATGCTAATGCTTGCACATGATCGGTGCATGCATGCATCATCTTCCATCAACATATATAACCGGCTGGCCAATCTCACATCTATCTTAGCTTTAATTTAACTATAATCAATCAAAACTAATTAAATAATTAAATAAGTACCATGTATCCTCATCTAGCTACTTTGAAGCTAGCTTTTATGTATATTGATGATCATAATAATTAAATAAGTTTGCATTATCATTTTGCACTTCCCAACTTCCTTGTGTGTCTCATACCCTACTTACTACTTTCTTCGTTCCCTTTTAATTAAAACAGTCCACTTTGCCAATACACAAGTTTGATCATTAATATTTTTAATTCCTTATAAGTAAACAATTTAAATAAAATCAGATTTTGAAAATTTAGAATGAGAGGAATTTAACAGTATTTTTTATAAATTTAATTTATAATACATTAGTAAATAAAATATAGTCAAAGTATAATACATGAATAGTGCAAAAGGTCCAATGTTGCAATTAAAAGAGAACGACGCCGAAGCCTCTGGGGGGATTTTCTAACGGTTTCTTTCTTTCTTCCTAACCCCACGCCGGAAATGGCTGCTCAACCTGTCAAGAACAAAACTTCCTCTTCGCCCGGCAAGGTTTAAGAGGCTTCCAAGCCGCTACAACCAGTGGCGGAGCCACAGATGTTCTAAAGGGTTGACATGAACACCCAAATTTTTGAAAAACATGCAAGTATATATGTGTAAATTTAATACACTTCTTTGTTATTTTTAAAATTTCTAGTTGTAAAACTGAATTGAACTTCC